GCCCTATTATAATCCTTGTAGTCACTATTACAGGGTGGGGGCAGCTTCTAAGGTTTAGGGTTCGGAGAGCATGGAGCAGCCTAAAGCTGCCTGCAGCAGAGAAACACCAAGACCTGTCGGTGCCACACAAAAACGCGGCTCGGCATGGCGATGCAAGCCAAAGAGTTAAAGAGTTGAAGCGCTTAGGGTCGTGGCGGCTTCGAGAGGCTGATTCCCTACATCTTGGGTTTCGAAGATTCTTTGCATGCTTAGGGTTTGGGATGCAGGAGTTTATGCTGGCACCGTAGAGCAATCATGTTGATTTATAGGTGCTTGGGCGAAGCCTACTTCAGCTACAGGGGGAGGTCAGGGTGTAAATTTACGAGCTCTTCAGACAACCTGTGCATTTACGTTAGTCTAGCCCACATCGAAGAAGTTGCTGACTTCAAGCTTGAGATTCTGTCGTACCCTGCAACGGTCTGCGGAGCCAGGTCGGATGGCGCAAAAACCTCAAGGAACCAACATGAGTAGCTACTATTTGCTTAAGAAACATAATCCCTATATTACCCCCATAAGGAAAATATTTCTTATTTTTGGGGGTTCTTAAGCAACTGGTAGCTAGTTTGGGGCCTTTGGGACTTGGTATGATGAGGCTTAGGTTGCGTGGATCCCGAAGTTGACGATTGGGCTTAGGATGCTGCGGTGTTCTCGTCGTAAACCTGATTAGGCCAGCAGCCCCACTGGCCTACCAGTGCAAGTGCGGATATGGATGGAAAGATCACAGTAGTTCTCAGATCCTGAAACCCCAATGGAGCAATTCAGGATATTCCAGATCGTGATAAACCCTAAACCCTAAACCCTAAACCCTAAACCGTAGCTCCGCTATGAATTGGGTTCTCACGAACGAACTTCCGAGCCTCTCAACTTGAACCCTTGTAGTCTAGGCTGAAGGGCTTCGGGTTTAGGGGTTCGGCGTGAAGCGTTTCTGGTTTAGGCCTTAAGGTCGGGAAAAGCCCAAGACCTTCTAATCAAGTCGGAATAGCCTTCTAAGAATCGAGGACCAAATAAGCCACTGTCCGGTTCTTAGTACGGGATGGGGGAATGGATCCCTATGATCGTCCCTTAAGGTCCCCTGTGGTAGGGTTTAGGGTTTAGGGTTTAGGGTTTAGGGCAACCTCCCGTTCCCTACTAGGAACCAGACAGATGACCCAACTACTGCGACTTGAGGAAGTTTCCGTAACCAAGGGTTATTCGGCTTTCTGGGGCCAGGCTTTAGCGTTTGGGGTTTTGTGTTTAGGGTTTAGGGTTTAGGAGTTTAGGATTTGGGGTTTAAGCTCTTAGGGGTTTTGGGTTTAGGGATACACTCAAACTACCTCTCTACGTAGATATACTTACTAACGCGGCAACCCTGCAGCACCCACAGCGACCAACAAACCCAGAACCCCTGGCCCAAAACCTTAAACCCAACACCTTTCACTGGCCTTTCACCTTAAACCCTGAACCCCAACTGCCAAACCTGAAGCCGACAACCCGCGGCGCAAATGCAGCTTTTGGACACGGCCGTTCACGCTGTCCAGGAAACAACGGGTGCCGGCCTCGGCACCACATTCGAAGAGCTTGAGGAAAGCTTGACATTTGGTCTTGAAGGCTCGGTATAAAGGTTCAAGGCGTAGACGGGCCTGTGCGAAAATCTCAAGCGTGAACCTTAAACCCAAAACCCCAAAACCCTAGCCTAAACCCGAAACCACCCGAACCTCGCAGCGATCGACGACCTCGGAGCCGGCGAGGAGCTCGTGAAGCTTCGCAGTGGCCTCAAAGGATCTCTGTGCTATTCATGCATGTAGTGGTATCGTACAGTATCGTATCGTATAGCACGGCATGGTATGGTATAGTAGGGTATAGTATATGTAGTATATATAGTATATGAAGTATAGTATAATCTAGTAAAGTATAGAGTAGAGTAGAGGCTTCTTTGGACCACCATGTGTAGCAAACTGGTGTAAGCAGTTATGTAATGGCCAGCATGCTAATCAGACGGTCAACAGAGATACATAATGACAGAATGATGTCATCATCGCCACGGCCACGACCAGAAGGACCTTTTCTTCTCTGCACAGTTACAACCCACCCGTTTGTTGGGTTTGACCGGTATACGCTAAATGCGAAACGGGCTCCTTCTGTCAATTCGCGTTTACATCATACATCGTTCCCTTGGAAAAAGACAAGCATCCAGTCAAATGCACTTGGAACTACTTGAACCGTGAAATCGTGGTGTCATGCTGCGTGCGCAGCTCCTGAGCATCTCCGAAGCCGTAAACCCCTGCCCACTGCAGCACTGGACTGGCTGGCCTTCAGGCGGGAGATGTTCTCTGCCACGCCACTGGCAGGACCTTAACCTGGCCGAGAGCCAAGTGTCCCTTCAAATCACGCAGGTCTCTCGAAAGGAGCCAAAACTTTCTGCCATAAGCCAACCCCCAAGCTGGAGCTATCGACTCCGTACTTGCACAAAACATTGCTATTATATCCTAAACCAATAACCCAAGTTAATTTATCAAAAGATGCACTCCGCTTTGCCTTCGTCCTACCCAGAATTTAAGCCTGCTTTACATGCCATGCACCGACATCGACCTGAGAATCCTGCCGCTCATCACCAGCATGGCCTGCGCGTGGCAAGTTCTCCGCAGCTTGCTCTGGATATCTACCAGTTGCATGCATATTCCACTGGAGGTTTGTTACAGCTCTTCTCGGGGTTTCTCTCGAATGCCTACAAGGAGTGGGTCTTTACGATCTCTCAAGCTCCTGTCACGATTTGGGTGTTTCGGCCTGACACTCGACTCAACATTGCAATTCCTGGCAGGCCTTCCACAGCTTCTTCTTCAGGTTTTGCTCCATAGGCAAAGTGAAGTCCTGACACTTGCACGGCAGGGCATAGGCAAGAAAGCTCTGCCAAGCGCGGAGCCCTTGCACCCACAACAGAATCTGCAAACACGGCCGTTGTGCATTGACCCTCAACCTTCCACCCGTTAAGTGCGCTCACAACTGGCTGAGTCAGCCTGTCAATAGGCATTACGTCTTAGGGCTCGGCATTGCATTGCAGGCAAAATGCAGAGCTTTACCATCTATTTTGTGGTTAAGTGTTAGGAATTTGCAAGTAGGCTCGGCCCAGAAGGTGAAATAACGTCGAAATGCCGTCTTCCACAACAAATGAAGCTACAATCATATGTTGTGTTGTTTATCATTTCGCTTTACATCTGACCTTTCAGTCCCCAAACCTCGAACACCGAAATGAAGAGCAAGACTCTCTTCCAAAGCGAAGGCACGGGGTGAAATCCAGAATGCACGCCGTATGGAACCCTTCACAATAGCAAGCATCCCCTTACGAAAACCGATAAATTTCGCAGACTTACCCATGAACCCTTAAAGCCCTAAGGTGTGGGTCCCTTACAGTAACTCCTGAACCCTGGACTCTAAGGTCTGATAGGGTCGCCGTCCAGACTCCAGATAGCTCTCCAAGCCAATACCATCCGCACAAATCGATCTCAAACTGGATGTAGAACAGAAAGTAAGACAACTCCTGATGAAACACACAATTTGTTCCAAACCCTGTTCGAACGGCAGGCAAAGCCCCACTTCTAAAGGGCCTTACTCTGAGGATCCCTTTTGGCCCTAATCCTAACCACGAGACGGGACGGCCCTGCAACCTCAACCCTATAAGTTCCAACAACCCTAAACGCCTAAACGCCCCTGTAACCCTAAAGTCCCTTCCAACCCTGAAGCCCAACAATTTTCCGAAAACCCCAAAAGCACGTTGAATCCTAAACACCCCACACCTGCAAAGACCGGGCTCCTGGGAGTCCTGCGACAGAGGCCCCCGAATCTCGTCAGGAAGCGACCTGCTCGGTGGTGCTGCCCCGGCGTGTGTAGGGGTAGGGTTTAGGGCTTCGGGTTTCGGGTTTAGGGTTTAGGGTTTAGGGTTTAGGGTTGGGGTAGGGTTTAAGGATTTGAGAGTTTAGGGTTTAGGGTTTAGGGTTTAGGGGTTTAAGGATTTGAGAGTTTAGGGTTTATGAATAGGGCTCTCGCTAAGGAACTGGAAAGCCTCCACCGTAAATCTGAACCCTGGCAGTTGAGGGTGACAAAGGATCTCTGCACTATGAATGCATGTAGTGGTATCGTACAGTATCGTATCGTGTAACGCAGTATGGTAGAGTATAGAGTAAAGTAGAGTAGAGTAGACTAAAGTAGAGTGTAGTTTGAAAAATATTCAACTCGAAGGCTTTATGGGGGGTAGCAGCACTGGATCAAGGAGTCATGTAATGGCCCCCATGCTAATCAGCCTGTCAGGAGAGATACAAAAGGCACGACAGAATGATGTCATCATCACCAAAGCAACGACCACACGGAGTTTTCCTTCTCTGCACAGTCACAACCCACCTGTTTGTTGGGCTTGATCGGTATACGCCAAATGCGTCGCTGGGCTGCTTCCGTACATCCAGCGAAACGCACTTGGAAATACTTGAACAGTGAAATCGTGGTGTCATGCTGCGTGCGCAGCTTCTGGGCATCAAGACAATCCCCACACTTGGTCCACGCAACAATGAGAACAGTCGCAAGAGCTATGTCAGCTATGCACATAATTGCAATGTTGAGGGGCTATTTGATACATCAGACAAGAGATTACAAAGTAATACCGACATAGGGCAGATCATTCAGCTTTTAACTACAACCAGAGAGGAAGATCTCAACCTTTCGATTTTTCCCTATAGATATAGCTGCAATACCATTAAACTGTGATTCGGGAAATCCAAATCACAAACTATTTCACAGACCAGATCACCGATAAATCTCTGAAGAAAGGTAGAAAGATTTGCAGTGCTTGCCAGTCCCTGCCATCCATAATCATAGCGACAAGACTGATCACCGCTCATCTCCAATGCATGAGGATTGGTTTGAATCAGCTGCTTTATTGGTGCTTGCAACATGAGGTTTTGGCCTCAGCTCTGTACATGGCCACAAACCTCCGCTCAGTACATGGCAAGGAAGGACACGGCCACAGCCACAAGGTTGGGTAGCAAATTGCCCCAACCGCTGCTTCCTGATGTCGAGCCTCCTGCGCCAGTTGTTGTCGTCGTGTCATTTCCTGTTGTTGTCGTGGTCGTAGTCGTGGTTGTTGTGGTGGTGCCACAGTCGTCGGCACCAAGAGTGGCGTTCATGCTCCCCCTCCCCTCCATCCACATGGGGTTTGTGCAGCCGCCGGTGTTAGGTGTATATGTTCCGGATTGGCGGTCGGTGCCATCTGACGTGCCCATGCAACCTGGAGCGAAGTGCTGTACTACGTAGATGTCGTTGTCGGAGTTGCACGTAACCATCCAGCTGTAGTTCACTTTAGCGTCTGTGGTTCCACCAGTCTCTGCGTCAGTGCTGCAAACTCCAAGAGTGAAGTTCCGCGTGCTCCTGACCGTGCCACTGCACGATGAGTCACTGAAATCATGCATGTAGACTTGGACCGTACCCGCACTGGCACTGCACGCAAGCCACGCAAGTAGCACTGTGCGCGACATCATTGATCTCGGCGCCTACCTCCACAAAACCTCAAACTGTCTGAGCCGAGCTGAAATAAACAATTCCAAGAATCGGAGTTCAGTAGGAGGGAAGCCAAGGAAGTAGGTACTGCGATTATGGACTCGGGGTGCAAAAGGTTTAGGGTTTAGGACTTTAAGGGGCTAAACCTGAGAGAGAACTCCGAGTCAGAAGCCCCTAAGCTCCTCTCCCCAGATCCCATAAGGATGCCTGCTTGCCGCCCCTTGCAGATGTCTTAAGGAACCCCCAAACCCCATACAAGCTCTACTCTGAAGACTAAACGCCTAGAACCCATGTCTGTGAGTCCCGCGTGGATCAAGCTCCATGAATGACACGAAGTCCCCTTTTTCAAGACCATGTACCGAAAACTTGCTCTTCGTCATGGGCAAATACTGAATACTCCTGGGGCCACGAGCCCCAGTTTGCGTGGCATGCTGCTCCACCAGCCTCCCAAAGAACACGCTTACAAGCATCTGGACTGTACAAGACCTTCTGTTTTGCCCTGTGAGATGCTCTCAGGCAGGAAGACGTGAGTCTCTGGTTTAGGTTCTTCGTATGCTAGCATCCTGCTCGCATAGCCCACGATTGAAGGGAGCCCGGTGGCCTGTCCAGCTCATCCAGGTCTGCAGCCTCCTCGTCCGCGAGAGCTTTGGCACCCTCTGCTACACCTCAGAACTCCGAGTTTGGGCGATGAAGGACTTCGGGTCGACCTACACGATCAAATGCCTTGCTGCTGACCTCGTTATTGCAATCGCCCCGTACTCGTGAACCCTAAACCTTGAGGTCTGATAGCGTCGCCATGATCCAAGAAAGCACCATCCGCACGATCTGAAACTTGATGTAGACCCCAAAGCAAGACAACCCCTGATGAACACAGGTTTGTTGAAAGGCCTCAACATCAAGATCCCTCGGTCAATCCTGAAGGGCAAGTAACCACCCCCTCTGAAGCACCTTACTATGAGGACCCCACGTCGAGTCGACGAATATTAGGATCCAAGAAGGCAACCAGCCCATCTAAGCCTAACACCTAGAATTCCTAAACCCCTTAAACACCCTATTCAATCCTAAACACCCTCACCCCCCCTCCTCCCTAAACCCTGGAATTCAAGTACCTAACCCCCCTAAACGCACTACTTAGTCCGAAATGCCCTAAACAACCCCCCCCCTTCTCAGACCTGGCTTCTGGCAGTCCTCGGACAGAAACCTCGGAAGCTCGACAGGACCTGGCGCCGGTGGTTCGCGTAGGTATACTTGGAGGATCATGGGACTTAGTAAGTAAGGTTATAAGTACCCTAATTGGGGGTATAAGTAATTATAAGTATAGTTACCCTAATTATAACCCTAGTTACTAACCCCCATGATCCTTCAAGTAGGGCTTAGGTCCAGGTGTGCGCAGGGTGTCATCTCGGTATAGGGTTCAAGCAGGGTTTAAGAATCAGGGTGTGGAAAGTGGTTGTTTTTTGTTTGGTGTCAGGTTGATTAGGGTTAAGGCGTGGGTCTCTTAGGAGTTTCAAGGGTTCAGGGCTTCAGGAGGGTTTAAGGTTTTATTTCTGAGGGTTTAAGCAGGGTTTGGTGTTTAAGTTCTGCTCAAGGTTCAAGCAGGATTCAGGGCCAAGGGCTTAACTGGAGTTAAGGTTCAACCAGTGTTTACATGTTTACACTGGGGTTTAGGGCATAGAGTCTAAGTCGGGTTTAGGGAGCACGCTCTAAGTAAGGTTTAGGTGGCTTGTGGGCTGCTTCTGCAAATCTGTCTGTAAGAAAAAACAACTGCACAGGGCGAGGCACTGTGCTTGCATTTAGGGTTTAGGTTGAAGGCTTTCGGTGTAGAGTTTGGGGGTCTATGTGCATGAGAGGAATGAAGCAGCCGGAAGCTTCCTGTGGCAGAGAAACACCAAGACCTGTCGGTGCCGCACAAAATCGTGGCGCGGCATGGCGAGGCAAGCAAAAGAGCGGCAGAGGTGAAGCACTTAGGGTCTTGACTGCTTTGAGCTGCCGCTTCCAATACCTTGTGCTTCGACCACTCGTTGTACACAATAGGTTTAAGGGTTTAGGATGAAGGAGCTTATTGCAGCTGTACCCGGAGTTTACGGGCCCATAGTGACTCTGCACCAATGCGCAAGTGACTTCAAACTAGAGCTCATGCTCTGCAAGTGGTCTGCGGACCCGAATCGGTGTAAGCAAAGTTTAGGGCTTAGGGTTTAGGGCTGTTGGGACTTGGTATGCTGAGGCTTAGGTGTTGCAGATCCTGAAGTCTACAGCAAGGCTTAGGGTTGAGGGACGCTGCGGTGTTCTCCTAAGATTGCAAACCTGCCTCTCCCAGAAGCATGCAGAAGCTAGCTGCGTAAGTGCGCCGGATCCTAGCGGCCACACCCACAAGGAAGCTGAGTGGGCCTAGTGCATCCTGCCCCACCACGAACGAAGAGATGGATGGAGAGCTTGCAGTAGTGCTTACATCCACTAAACTCCGATGCGAGCTGTTCTAGATCACGGCGCGGATTTTATGTGGTTCACATAGAGCACAACAACATCAAATAAGCACCTCAACGGGAACCCTCGTTCAGAAACAACAATAGGCTATGAACGCGGCTCTCGTTCAGGAATGTTTACCTTTGTGAGGAAAACACGATGATACTGTGTATGACTTCAGGAATCTTAGGCATCTCTACGGGCTGTTGGTTCTCTGCATGGATATACCCAAACTACCCACCTGGGTAGATATACTAAGACTACTCTCACACCCAGACCCGAGCCCAACACCTGACCTCAAGCCTTGCTTGAAGGATCATGCGACTTAGTAAGTAGGGTTATAAGTATATTAATTGGGGTCATAAGTAGTTATAAGTATAGTTCCCGTTATTATAACCCTAGATATTAAGTCCCATGATCCTTTAATAAAGCCTTGAATTTCAACCTTGGGACCCCACCAGCACCGCGCACAGGCAGCTTTTGGACATGGCCGCTCGCACTTTCCAGGAAACGACGGCTACCGGCCACGGCACCACTTTCGAAGAGCTTAAGGAGCACTTGAAATATAGACTTTAGGGTGTAGGGGTTAGGTTTCCGGGATTCCAAGGTGCAGCGTTGAGGCCGCAGTGTTCAGGTTGCCCAGTTTTGAAGTTTGGGAGTTGGGGCGTCGGATCGGAGACTTGCAGGGTTTTGGGTTGGGGGTTAATGTAGGGGCCCTGAATAATTAGAATAGGTTGTTGGAGCCCGTTATACTATACTTACAGTAAGGAACCCCTAGAATAATACTGGTAATTTTGTAGGCCCCCATAGTAAGGACATCTGGCGGTTGCATGCCTCGGGAATGTGGCGACGGGCCGGCGCGAAAATCTCAAGAATAAAACCCTAAACCCTGAACAGGAGGCACCAGTGGCCTACAGCATTGTGGTAAGTTCTTTTGCCAAACACAACAACAACCACAACAACAACACTGTTCATAATAGTAATGACAATAAAACACAATAATACTGACAGTATAAAAAAGTAGTATTAATAACACCAACACTGTTACTGATAAAAACTAGTTAATACGAATCAGCATTCCCATTGTAATACTAGCAATCATAACGTGTGAGAGAGAGAGTAATGATAATGGTAATGGTAGTAGTAATACTCATTTCAATACGAATAACAACGAGAACAGTACGAATAAAGATCGTATTAATGAGGAAAAAGACAGGTAATAGCAATAGTCACAAGAGTAATTCCAGGGAAATAATGATAACCAGGAACAAAAGAAGAATGAGACTAAACACCAATGGTAATTGTTATAACAATTACAACAGTGATAATGGAATACCTGCACTACTAACACTACAGATAATGCATATTAACACAGATATAAACACTGCATATGCTACGATAAATTCTAATACGTAATGCTAACGCTTGTTAATACGATTCACATAAAAAAACTGAATGATACCACTGATGCCAATGACAGCAATGACGACAATAACTAAAACCGAAGGCTTCAAAGGACATGCTTCTGATGCCTCAAGGCATGGTCGGAACAGGGTTGAACAAACAACTGCGGCGGTTTATAGCGCCTTGAAGCCCTAAAGGCAAAACCTACGGCGATGATTTTTAAATACCCGGACATCTAAACAAGTTAAACAGGTGTGTCATACTACTTCCGTGGGCATTGTCTCTGGGCCGCCCAATTTTAAAACACACGGAAAGACAACAACACGAGACTCCAGCCTGCAGACTCCGTCCTCCAACCTTCGCCTCTCCAGCCCTCTTCCCAGCCCTTCAGCCCTCCAGCCTTCTCAGCCCCTCCAGCCTTCCAGCCCCTCCAGCCTTCCAGCCTTCCAGCGCCTCCATCCAGCCTTCCAGCCCCGCCAGCCTTCCAACCTTCCAACCTTCTAGCCTTCCAGCCCTCCAGCCATCCAGCCTTGCGCTCCTCATCCGCCTCCACTTCATTCGCAGCGCCACACTGCGCAAGTGCCCCGTACCTTGCAAAAATATGCCTGAGAATGACGGGCTGGAAGGCTGGAAAGCTGGAGGGCTGGAAGGCTGGAAGGCTGGAAGGCTGGAAGGCTGAAGGCTGGAAGGCTGGAAGGCTGGAAAACTGGAAGGCTGGAAGGCTGGAGGCTGGGAAGGCTGGAGGGCTGGAAGGCTGGAAGGCTGGAGGGCTGGAAGGCTGGAAGGCTGGAGGGCTGGAAGGCTGGAAGGCTGGAGGGTTGGCAGGCTGGAAGGCTGGAGGGCTGGAAGTAAACACCCGGAGCTAAAACATACGGATTAAAACAGGTGTCTCATACTACCTCTGTTTGGATCTTGGGTTGCCCGCCCCCCACATGTTTTAAAATTCTCACCCTAGCCCCTTCCGGCTTCCCTCTTCGGGTCGGATGTTCAAGACTACCTACCCCATCTGCCTGAGCGCAAACAAACCCAAAAAACTGAACCCGACACCCTAAAACCCTAAAACCCCCTTAAGCCCTAAAACCCTAAAAACCCCGAAATCGAAACCCTAACACCCCAAACCGTAAAACCCTAAACCCCTAAACCCTAAACCCTAAACCCTAACTCCCCAAACTGAAACCCTAAACCCTGGTGACAGGTCAGGTGGTCAGCCTCCTGCTCATCCATTACGAAGCCAATCGAGGACTTCCGACATCAGAGTTTCCAGCCGGAGGGGCGATTGAAGTTGGAGAACCCTAAACCCCAAGCCCATAAACCACCAGAACCTACTTCTTTTGTAGGTGCTAAGATGGATTTACAGCGACCCTACCAAAAAAAGTAGGTGCTCTTTTGTAGGTGCGGATCATACACTCTAAGATGGATTTATAGCGACCCTACAAAAAAGTAAGTAGGTCTTCGTGGTTCAAGGTACCACCCTTAAACCGTAAGCACCTCAACTGAGACCTGCCATCCTGGAAGAAAATCCTAGGTTATCATCCTCTTGCTGCAGGGGGGGTTTAGGGGTTAAGGGTTTAAGGTTTAGGGTTGAGGGTTTAGCTATTAAGGTTTAGGGTTTAGATATTAAGGTTTAGTGGTTTAAGGTTTAAGGTTTAGGGTTTAGGGTCTAAGGTTTAGGGTTTAGGGTTTAAGGTTTAGGGTTTTGGGTTTTATGGTTTAGGGGTTTAAGGTTTAGGGTTCAGGCTTTTTTCCCCTACAAGCAGATCCAGCATGCCTCCTGGAGAAGGCTGCGAGCGCCTAATATAGGAAGCTGATTACGAAACCTCGGGTCCTTACCGGGGCTCTTTGTATGGATCCTGATTGTTTTAGGGGGGAATAGGGCCAGTGTTTCTTAATCAGGTTCCTACATTCCTCTCCGAACTCCAAAACTCTTTAACCTGGACTTCCCCAGGATGATCTTCGTAGCCAAACGCGCTTAAACAAACCAACGCTGCAAGGCGGCTAAGAAGCCCTTAAAGGAGCCCTTAAGACTTTAACAGCAGATCTCCCTAAACCCGAAGCCCTAAACCCTAAATCCTGAACCCGCAAATGTGTGGCCAGAGACTTCAACGCAGAAATCCCCAAGGTCTCAGCAGGCCCTGGTCTGCATAATGCCAGGTAACTTACCTAACCACTCACTATGCCTTAATTGGGGTTGTATAAGTAGTTATAATTCTAGTTACCCTAATTATAACCCTAGTTACTAAGTCCCATGATCCTTTAACTTACCTAACTACCTACTATCTAAACTCTATGCGGGTGGTTGTCGGTATTAGGGTCCCTGTTTGGGTCCTTATTATCATACGGCACCTCATAATTAGGGTACCCACAAAGGGATCATAATTTTGACAACCACCTATGTATTTATATCATCTAGATGAAGATGTCCATGTCTGTAGTGTTTGTATTCTTATCACGAAATCAGGAAAGCTACCTAACCTCGCATTGGAGCTTCAAGTTGAGGTTTGGGGTTTGGGAGAGGTGTAGGGCTTGTAGACTCCACCTTAATCTTGATACCCAGGCTCTTCGGTGATGCTTAGGGGTCTTGGAGATTCTGGCAAGGGTAACAAAATCTGTGCTTCTGGGGCTCAGATTGAACTCTAACACCCAAAAATCTCACGGACTAAGCCTTAAAGCTGCGTCGCTTCAGCATCCATACGGGCTTTGTGTTTGGGGTTTAGGTTTAGGGTTTGCCATTGGGGTCATCTGCTTCATTCCAGCTTCTTATATACACTTGCACGACTTCTTGGTATGGCTCTGCATACAGCATGAATGCATAGATGCACGCACGCATGCATGCATGCATACATAAGTACACGTTTTCGTACAAAAACATACACATACCTACATATATACATAAATCTCAACAAGGGCAAAGGCATAGCAGCTCTGTCGGGATCCGCTGAGCAAAGGTTTTGTACAAAGCATCCGAAAATCGGCGCACGCTTGGAGCCCGGCAGCCGAGAACTCCGCGTTTCGGGTTCGCGGCTCAGGGGTTTAGGAAAGGTGGGGGTTAGGGTTCTAAACCCTAAACCCTAAACCCTAAACCCTAAACCGTTTAGGGTTCCGGCCTGCCACAAGACAAGGTCTCCCCCAAGAACTTTAAATGTTTCAGCTTACCTAAACCGAAGCTTCAGTGTGCGTGCGTGTGTGTGTGTTGTGTCAGGGCATAGGGTGCTAGGTTGTTTGGGAACAGGGCATATGTAGCTCCCGCGAAACGGAAAGGAATACCTACCTACAATCTCGTCCCCTGAACCCTTAACTCTCTTTCTGCTGGGTCCCTGCCCACGCTAAACCAGAAAGGCTAACGAACCTTGAAGCCAAAGGCACCTACAGCTAAACCTTACACCCAAATCGTCCAAACCCCACACCCTGAGTTCCTAACACACCAAAGCCTAAACACAAAAGATGATTAGATAATAGCAACGCTCCTATTTTCCTTGAGCCAAAAGCAAGGTCAGTTGCATCTTACCTTTTAGGAAGATACGTGTCCGGAATCACCCCTCCTGGGCGGAGGCGATTCCGCTGACGTCCACTTTAGGACACTGTACACTATACAACTGCTTTCGCTAAACCGCTTCTACCAGAGACCACTTCGAAGCCCATGCGTTTCAGGTGCTGCTCAGCACTTTCCACGGCTAGCGACTTAGTAAGCAGGTCAGCCGTGTTCAGCTTGGTGTCGATCTTGAACAGCTCGAACTGCTTGTTCGCGAGCTTCTCTTGGATCCACAGGTAACGTGTCTGCACGTGTCGGGATTTACCCAACCCGAGTCTGTTGCAGGTACCCAGTGCAGCAGCGCTGTCAGTGTGAACCTGCAGCTTCACGTCCAAGCCCCATCCACGCAGTAGCTCTTGAGTAGCCATCCCACTGGCCACTCCCTTCACCAGAGCGTAGTACTCGGCTTCTCCCGAGGATAGTGACACCGTGCTTTGAAGGTTGCTCGAGTGCCTCACCTCGTGCTTGCCGTAGTAGCACACGAGTCCGGTGGTGCTTTTGCGCGTCTGAAGGCATCCCGCGAAGTCACTGTCCGCGTGGACTGTGACTACCTCGCTGAACCTCTGTGGCGTGAACCTTTGCACCAGCCGCATTGTACCTTTCAGATACCGAGCCACCCTTTTGAGGTCTCCGAAGTCAGCCTCCGTAGGCCCTTGCATCTTCCGTGCAAGGCACTTGACGGTTTCAGACAGATCTGGCCTGTCTTGCGCCAAAAAGGCCGCACGCATGACCAAGGAGCGGTACTTGCTAATGCGGTCCGGCGCAACCGTAGGCATCTCCAGACGCTTTGCAACGTCTTCTGCCTTAAGCTTTTCGTTTGGGCTCTTTACCGGCTTGCAGGTTTCCATTTCCAAGTCTTTCAGAATGATTTCAGCGTGCCTGGGGTCAGGCTCGTAGGAGATAGTGCCTGACCTCTCGTCGAAACGTACGAGACGGTTCAGTACACAAAACTCCTGCTTCTTTTCCCCTTGCCCGATGCTTCCATCAACCCTAAGGTCGTACTTGGATCTCAGGATCTGCTCCACATAGGCTTGTCCGGCGTCGTCACTCAAAATGAGGAAATCGTCACCGTGGACCAGGAGACGAATCTCTCGATCCTTGTGGAAGAAGATGGCAGGCCATGCTGGGCATCTTTCGAACCCAGCAGCCAAAAGGGCCGCGGTATAATCAGCCTGCCATATGGCAGCTGCATCGCGCGTCCCATACATGGACTTGCGAAGCTTGCCAACCATCCCTGGTGTACGGTCACCCTCAGGTAACGTCACAAAGACATCCCTCTGGGCCTTCCCATAGAAGTGAGCCCGGGATATGTCGATGAGCCGAAGTTTCAGAGGCGATCGGCTCTTCTTGGCGACCTTCAGTGTCACCATGAGTGACAGGAGCAGTTTTACCGCCTCGAGGGGCGGCATCGCGCTAAAGGAAGCGAACTCGGGAATAAATTCCGCGTTCTTGGCACGCTTTACCTCACGACAGACAAGTCGTGATCGGTAGTTGGGCCGTTCGTTATCCCCTTTATTGCGATCTACCCATTTCATCGTTATGGGCATCTTTCCTGCAGCCTTTGCTTGCTCCTCCGGAACTTTCTCGTAGAGGTCTTGCTTTCGAACCCACTCTAGTTCTTCCTTGCGAGCAGCTGCAACCTTCTCGAGGTCCAACTCTGCTCCAGTGTTGGAGTCGTAGACAGGTCCCTCGATAGGATCGCTCGCCTCTGGAAGGTGGTTGAAGACCTCTTCCTCCTCGTCAATGACAGGAGCAGAGTCCGGTACAGGACCTGCTTCCATCATGTTGAGAGCTTGAGAAAACTCGCCGTCCTCGATAAGTTGGGCGCGAAACGCCTCCAAGATACCCTGCACAAGCTTTGCGGGATATTCCTGGGTGGCCTTGACACGTCCCTTGACGATCTCGGCTTCCCGGTGCCAAAGCTTGCCCTTTGATGCCGCGCTCGCTCTGCGCAGCACGTCGGCGACGGTACTCGAGTTCGTGAGCCACCGCGTCTCCTTGTTCACAGTCGCTTTCGAGCTTCCACTCAGACTCCACCGACAGGTGGGACCTCGAACTTCGAAGACGCGGGGGTCCGCCTTGAGTTCCTTAACCTCTGGCTCCTCCCAGCTTCTTGCTCCCGAGGGGTGCTCGTGCAGAAAGTACCTTCCTGCGTTCACTTGCGTCCAGTAAGCACGGACGGTGGTCCTCAGATGCTTCTGGTCTCGTTCCACAGCCTCGCGCCTAGCGGAAGGCGCGACCTTCGCAGATGCATCCACCACCTGCTGTAAACTTGAGAGCGGGCCACGTGGTGGCGAGCCCCCAAGAAACTTGGGCTCCTCACGCTCCAAAAGCTCGAACAGCTCGTTCACGTGGGAGTCCTTGCTGAGGTCCCAGGCTTCGCCGTCCCCACGAGTAGCCTCGAGGTCCACAGAGAAACCAGGCCTCATGGCCTTCACTTGTGCCTGTGCCGCAACCCGCGGCACGGAGAAAACTTCCTTCACGGTGCCCTTGGCGCGCGCGTCCCTCAAGACAGCGCAAAGGCACTCGGTGAACTGGTTCAGAGCCATAGCGCCAGATCCTCCAGCCGAATCGGCCGATGGCTCTGGCACCCGCTCTGGTTGGGGATCTCTACTCCCAGCAGAAGGGAGTGGCCCCATCACTGTTGCTTCTTCTCCTCCTCCATCTGCTTGCTGCATCCTTTCGTGCAGCACTTCGACGTCCTCCTCGGCGTCTCTCTTCTCTCCTTTCTTCTTTCCTTCCTTCCTCTTCTTCCTGGGGCTTCCGTCTCGAACGTCCTCGCGTTCCTGCAGCTCCCGAGCGGCACCTCTGGGCTCGGGCTCTCCTGCTGCTTCTCCCGCAGCCATTTCGGCGTCTGGCTCCGGCGCGCCGACCAACACAGGTGCGTTGGCCGCGGCCGCAGCTGCTGGAGCCCCTCCTTGGTTCTTAGGCCTCCTCCCGGCGTCAAGCCGGGCCCTGGCCGCATCAATGCGCGCTTTTCCATCTTCAGTCTTCTGAAGCTCCGCCTGGATCCTTAGGCGGCACTCGTTATTGTGCGATCTGCGCGGCATATCGCAGATCAGGGCTTCACAGCCCGGGCACAGCGGCGTGTAGCCGTGCCTCTCCAGGTCGCTCTTTAGAACGTACAGGTTCCTCGGAACCACTTCCTCCTGCGGCGCACGCCTCGGCTGTCCAACCACCACAGGCAGGTCGACCCGAAGCTCTCCTGGCTCTCGGGCCTGGAGCCTCCAAGGAACACCTCGGAGTTTGCTCCAGTTCTCGTACTTATACTGGTCCGCAGGAGGCCGGCGCATGATCGAGGCGCCCTTCACAACACCTCGTTCTGTCATGATGAACACGTCATTGTTGGCGCCAACCCCCACGAACATGCCCATGCTAACCCTGGGCTCTAGGTCGTGTTTCCTGCCGTCTCGCGGCTGCCTCGGCCTAAAGAGCACGTGCTCGCCGAAGCTCACAAGTGGAGTCTTCCACTTCCTTCCGAACGTCCTCTCGTAAGGCGTCCGGCCGTCCGCTCCCACGCGGAACCGAGAAAGCAGGTAGGCAGCGTGGCGCGGAAGCCACATCATGCATGGATGGGCCGGCTCGATATCGAAACCAAGCCGCTCTTGCAAGTCCGAGAGAATCGCCCGGACCTGCCGCTTCATCTCACGCACGCCCACCTCAATGTATCCGTTTGCTTGGTGGTCCTCCACCGGCACCTCAACGAGGTGCACCTTCAAACTCATCTCCTCTTTCACCTTCTTCTTCAGCGCCACGATGGGGTTCTCGTTGTCGCTTTTCAAACAAACTTCCTTAAAACCTGTTTCGTTCAAGCAGCGCTTTAGCCACTCTACAGCGTAAAGGTCAGTACCCTTTTGCGGCACTACTGTAGACCAATACCTATCAGTTTTGTGACACTTCACTACCAAACAAGGCAGCACTCCCTCACTCTCGCTCTTTTCTTGGCCAGAGTTCAGGTAAAAGTAGTCTAGTGAAACGTAGGGCAACCTACCCGCGTCGTGGTCCGCAGCCTCGCCGGTCGCATGTCGTGGGGCCCCAGCACGGGCCCTGCAGCAGTGTATGCACCAGGAACGGTGCGTAACATGCCCCGCTGCGCGGTGTTCGTCGATCTCGGCGGGCGACGGATCTTTGGGAGACCGCCGGGCGATTGCCATCCGCCCCTCATGTGCAGCTTCCCCATCGCCGGCAGGGGCCTCCGGCGGGGGATCGTCAGGACTTACGCCTTCCGCTGCCCCGGAAAAGGGGCATCCTCCTTCTCCTTCTCCTCTTCGTTGTCGCCCGTTGCGTTCAGCTCGGGCTTCCGGTCCGTGGGTGGCTGCACCCAAAAGTCAAGCATATAGATGCCGTTCTCGACGGTAACAGGCGTAAGCATGGCGTGGTGGCGGGCCACCAGGCCAGCCATGAACTGATCGTACTCCGCGGCCGCCTTGCTCCCAAGGGGAATCAAGCAGCCGCCCTTCTTTGTCAGCGCCAGGTGGTGGCCCTGAGCCACCTTGCTTCCCGACGCCAGCGGGCGATGAACGCCCGTGACCCTTCCGGTCACTCCCTTCAAGTTTCCACGGGCGTCGGTGCCTCGAATCTGCAGGCCGCCCTCGTCCCGCATCATCTCGGCGTTTGCGGTCTTGTAGGTTGTTCCGCTGGTGGGCCCCAAGGCATATCCCATCTCCTTCAAGCTTTCCGCAAGCTCGATTGGGATCGCGGTCGCGGCGGCCCCGGTATCCAGATTCAACCGGATGCGTTTCCATCCGTCCACCTCCTCGACCACTCCAGCCGAATCGGCCGAAGTGCCAAAGGAGTGAACGAAGATGCTGGGTCCTCCCGGTGGCCCCTTTGGCCTCTTCGGCCCACTTTGGTTGTCTCGGGGCTCGTCCGGTGGCGGCGGCTCGTCGCGCTCCTCTTTCTCATCGTTTTCTTCCTTTTCTCCACGCTTGCGACGCCGCCTCGCAGCATTTTTCCGACGATAGTAATCGGCCCCTCGCTTGCGAGGGCCTCTCTCCTTCTTGTTCGGGTCCTTGGCCAGGAGCTCCTCCTCGTCGTTCGGCTCCTGGCGTAGGTTCTCCCGAGCTTTCCTCGAGAGTGGCGCGGCCTCCTTCGTGGCCTCGCTTTTCCCTTTGTCCCGCGACCGTTCGTCGATCACCTCGGTCTCCCCGCGGAACCGATCGGCCTTATCGACCTTCTTCCCGGCGCCCCGGTCCTCGTAGCGTCGGTGCCACTCCTCGTCCTTCTCCAGGCGGTCTGCCACCCGATCCTTCAGCCCTTCGCGGCGGCTGAGGATGGCACGCCTTCTACCCTTCTCGCCTTTCCATGCCACGTGGTGGGCGACGCCGGCCGCCCGATCTGCGTAGTACCGGCTGTCGTGGAAGGACTGGTCGTCCAGGTTCTCCCTGGTGATGACCACGCTTTGCCTCGGCCGGTCTCTCGCGAGCTGCTTGCGCTGTTCGTCCAGGCGCTTCTTAGCGTCTTCATCCTCTTCCTCGTCGATGTTCTTGCGCAGCTGCTCCATCAAGGCACCACGCAGCAAGTTGATGCTCCCAGCGGTGAACCCTGAGAGGCGTTTTGGCGGCGCCCCCGGCTCACTGGAACTTCTCTTCGGTGGCGTCTTGGGCGCCTTCGGCTCGCTGGGTGGCGTCTTGGGCGCCTTCGGTTCGCTGGATCTTCTCTGCTTTGGCGGCGGGCCCTTAGGCTCGTTAGGCTTCCTAAGGTCCGGCGGCGGCTTAGGCGCCGAAACCTTGGAGTGCGTCGTGCCCGCGGCGGCTCCAGGCGAAGCAAAGCCCGGAGTCTCGCCCGCACTCTTCTGCTTAGCCCGCTCCACCGCCTTCGCGGCAAACCGGCGCACCGCAGACCTTCCGCGGTCGCGCCTCTCCGAGCAGGTGTCGCAGTCTGTTCCCTGGGCCTTCAAGACAGCCTCTCCAAGCGACCCCGGCGGGATCTTCTTCCGCAGCTCCTTCTTGTGATCCTGGCGCTCCCGAAAGCGCATCTTCTTCCAATCTTCCTCTGGGATCACATGCTTCATCCCGGCACTCCGGGTTCTCTTCTTGTTTCGCGGCTCCTCCTCTTCGTCTCCGTCCCCGCTGGTGTCGTCGCCGCTGCTTGGCTTTGTCAACTCCCTGCGTGCGGGGACCTCTTCTTCGGCTTTCGGTAGCACCTTCGGCTTGGGCTTCAGGTACTTCGCCGCCGGCTTCGGCGGCACCCCTTTCGGGGGACTGGCCTTCGGCTTTGGAGTCGCCACCTCCGGCTTCTCCTCGTCTTCGGTCTTCACCTCTTCTTTCTTCACTTCTTCTTTCTTCTCCTCCTTCTTTGCCCTTTTGGGCGGCTTTGGTGGAGCCGCCCTTGGGGTCGCAGGCGCAGGTCTCGGCGCAGCACCTGAGGAGCCTCCAGCCGAACCGAAGCCGGAGGACTCAAGCTGGGCCGCCTGCTGCCGCACGAGCATCCCCAAAGTGAGGTTCTCACGCAGAAGCCGAAGCATCACATCCACACTGGTGTCCCGAGAGGACCCTGCCCCGGAATCCGAAAGCAGAGACACGCCCCCGAGCTGAGCCACCAGAGGCAGGCTGGAGAGAGCATTCACAAGAGCCGGGTCCGCCAGTGAAGCACCGGCAGGCACCGTAGGGAACACGCTGGTTGCCGTAGGGGCGTCTGAGACCGGAGGGTCTTCTTCCACGAGCTCCTCCTCGCGGCTTTCCTCTTGAATGTCGCGCGCCATCGGCGCGGAAAGGTGCAGCGCTCCTAGAGCTAAGTAGTTACTTTCGTTTGAGCCCGCAGCTTCGTTCCAACCCTCGTTTTGGTCCCAGCCCTCTTCCCAACCACCGCCGTCCCAGGTAGTGGCCTCTTCTCCTTCCGGCTCCTTCTCTTCTTCCACGTTTCCAACCTGCTTGGTCTTTCCTCCCTTTCCTTTTCCTCCTTTTCCTTTGCCTGGCTTTCCTCCTTTTCCTTTCCCAGGCTTTCCTTTGGGTCCTTTTCCGCCCTTTGGCGGGCTGGCATTGTTCGGCTTTCCGCCGCTTCCTCCTTTCTTCGCTTTTCCTCCGCCCGGTGCCCAGCAGTCGGCGACAAGGTGTCCTGGCTTGCCACAGTTGTGGCATACACGTTGTTCCTTCTTCGCCGGCTTGCCTTTTCCTTTGCCCTTGGGCTCTTGACCGAACGCGCCGACGTCCATTGGCGCCGGACCGCCCGTGTCGACAGGCGCACCAGGCTTGAGCTTGAGCCCCACACGCGTCTCCAGGTAGGCGCTCAGCTCTTTGCGCACATCCTCGTAGCCATCGAACCGTGCTTGGTTCAGCTGCAAGTGCTTTTCGACCTCCGTCGGGCAGATCGACTCGAGGATCGCCGTCTTGATGTCCTCGTCAAGGGTCGGCCGCGTACCGTCAGGCTTCCGCCTGTTTTCGTACAGGCGCACTTGATCTTCCCAAGCCTCGACCGCAGCCGATAGCTCCTCAACGCGGTTCACCCTTTGCGGGTTCAGCACGCCCCGCAGCATAGCTCGGCGGCGACCTCCCGTAGAAGGATCGAACCGCTTGCTGAGCTTCCTCCAAGCTTCCAGGCCCTTTCCCTTGCCGCTAGACCGGACCAAGGTAAAGGCCTCCTTCTCACAGAGCGTTTGCAGCACAGCGTAAAGCTGGGCCTGCATATCTTCGAGATCGGCAATGTGCTTCTCGGTCGGGTTCGTTTCCCCGAAGGCAGCGGTAAGCGCAGCCGAGCTGATAGGATCAGCTTCTTCCTCTGCCCAGGCCATAGCAACCTCAAGGTCCGGGTGGACGCTCGCAACAAACGCCTCTAGGCGTATCTTCCACTGGAGAAAATCCGTCTCTCCACTGTAGTTGCTGGGCTTCGCGAGCCCCCGATTGTCAATCAGCGTCAGCTTCTTATCCGGTCTCTTGGTCGCTTCCAGAATGGCTTTCTGGGTCTCCACCATCTGCTGCATCACGGTCTGCAGCCCAGGCGAAACGCCCGGACCGCCAGCCGCAGATGCAGCCGTTGCTTGCTGCGCAACCGCCGTCAGGCGATTATTCAGATCCTCTTCTCTCCTCCTGCTCTCCAGCAGTTCGCTCTGCAAGGCTTGCAGCTGGGTAGCCAGCTGGGTCACATCAATTGCCCCGCCTGCCATCGCGACGCCTTGTGGTCCTCACAGGTCGCTCTTGGGCCTCTCCCTGCCGAAGCAGCTGGGAGTCAAGCAGGCGCGTACGGAATTCCCGGCTGAAGTTCAGCCCCTGAAGAAACAGGCCCAGATGGCCCCAAATGCGTTGCAAGCGCCGAATGCGCTGCAACTTCCTGATCAGCCTTGCCCACCTGTTCACCACACAGGCCCGGTATCGCCTTGCACAGAGCCTCAGAACGAGACCTCGAAACATTCACTCCTGGAGCGCAACCGAGCGCTCCGCTACCATGATTAGATAATAGCAACGCTCCTATTTTCCTTGAGCCAAAAGCAAGGTCAGTTGCATCTTACCTTTTAGGAAGATACGTGTCCGGAATCAAAAGACAACCCTAAACCCTAAACCCTAAACCCTCTACCGAGTTCATGCAGGCTCCCAGACGCTGGAAGCCTGGAAAACGAGGCGCCGTGCTCAGCTCAAGACGTTGACGGGCCTCACCTTCTCTGGGGCATCCTCCGTAGTCCTGCAGCAGAACGATCATGGAAGATCCCTAAATCCTGAACCCCTCAACCTTAGACCCTAAACCCTAAACCCTAAACCCCTAAACCGTAAACCCTAAATCCTGAACCCCTCAACCTTAGACCCTAAAGCCTAAGAACCCTAAAGCCTAAGCCTTACATCTTTGGTGTTTTTGCCCAGGCTCTTTGGACTAGGGACTAGGTGCTTCAGAATTCTGTGCGTCGTTTCCAGGCGTACTTGAACTGGGTTTAGGGTTTCGGGGTTTAGGGTTCATGGTTTCGAGGTTTGGGGTTGAGGATTTGGGTTTAGGGTTGAGGATTTAGGTTTAGGGCTGAGGATTTTAGGTTTAGGGTTGGGGATTTAGGTTCAGGGTGGAGGATTTAGGTTCAGGGTTTCGGGGCTTCTTGGTGAGTGCTTCTTGAAGATTCGAAGGCCTCGGCTTCGCTGGTCACTGGCAAATATCTTGTCCCGGGGGTCTCAAGCCCCAAGACCCGCTGTTCAAGAGCTGCTGAAGATCGCTCCAACAGCTCACGGTCAAAACAAGC